CCTTCAAAAACCATATTTATAGTTACACTTAGGGTTGCCACCTCATAACTTAGTCTCGCCCGGAGATGATGATTTAAGAAACCAAAAAAACCCATATGCATACATGTACAGTTTTTTTATTTATATAAATCCCATAAAAAACAATTAAGCATTAATAATGTGTCATTAAAAGGTTGATTAAAATCGCAATAAAATTTTTTTTGTGCGGGTAAAAAATTTTGAATTAAAAACATCCGAAAATAAAAAAATTTTTTAAGGGTCCAACAGACCTTTTGTTATGTAATGCTATTTAACCTGCTTGAGTCTGACTCTAACTATATACTATAACTTACCATTAATCATCAACCAACACGAACACTGATCATCAAACTGTCATCTATATAGGCTACATCATGTCACTCTCAATAGACATCTCCTGACAGAACAGTCACAAGAAAGAGTACAACTACATAGCATGCAGCAGCACTGTGCCTGCGCCAGTTATAGACGTTATGTCTTTAAGCCAACGACCACCACACTAGTAATTTGGTACATGGGGGAAGAAATATACGCAACGGTTTGCATATAATTTTGTACATATTCTTTCAACTTGCACAACCCGGAGAAATATTAATTAACCCCGGAGCCCGGAGATAACTCACTGAATCCCGGAGTCTCCCGGTCAAACCCGGACAGGTGGCAACCCTAGTTACACTAGTGAAAAATCGAATTAGGAACATCTAGTTTAATAGTTACCAGTATTTTTCACACAAAAAATATGTGTAGTTATCAGTGGCGTAGCGTAGTGGGGGCTGCAGGGGCGGCACTTTTAGGGGGCGGCAAAATTTCACAATAAATAATAATAATATCTTGTAAAAATGTGAACCATTTCATTTCATATTTTTGTCGCACCTAGGATTCGGACATTGAAATGAGCACAGAAGTTTTCATTACTTATTCTGTGACGAAACTGAATTTTAGTCATTTAAGGGGACGGCGAAATTTTCCTCCGCCCCGGGCGGCTGACACCCACGCTACTCCACTGGTAGTTATGATACCTTGTTTACAATTCACTATGATGAAAATGGGGTTCCATAATACCATCTTCTCCTATATATCACATAATCCCGGCATAAAAACTGAGTGATTTATTTTCTTTCTAATTTTCTGAAGTAGGTATGTTCGTTTCAAATTCTTCTATAAAAATGGTTACACATTTTTGAATAAAATCGCAAAAACCTCAATATTTATTTCGTCCCATAGTTTATGAAGCCTGTAATGTGCGGATTGGAAACGTTTCTAAATCGTTCTGCCAATTCTAGCGTCTAGTGACTTCCCTTGCTAGCGTCTGCTACAAAGTCGCAGACTAACTTAGGGGACAGCCTAAACATTACGATTGTACCGATAAAATAATTAAGGTACAGTACGTCGAAAAAATTTTCATGTCTTTCATTAATATTTGATTATAACACATTCGTACTATTTATAAATTTTAAATATTAGATTTTATGCTCGAATTTAAAAGTCAATCGAGATACGAAATTAAATTTTCCTTTTATATTTTGTTTAGAACAATATTAAAAGTTCGATTGCGCGTTTCGATTTTCGTTCCGCGGTCTTTTATCAAACGAGAAATTAAAACGATAGTGGCTCCGTCTGTGAGCAAAATAAAGAAATGAAATGTCACAAATGTGGACGACGCAATCACGCAAATTTAAGCGAACCAAGATGGCGGGTCTTGGGGAGACGACGAAGCGTCATTTCCCGTTACAAACAATTGACCATGTTGTAAGGTTATTTCGATCACAGCTAGAAAATAACGACGATCCGAATTTAATCTTGTTGTCTATCGTCGTTGGCTACATTGAAAATATGTTGACATGCAATAGAATCGTCCCATCGCCAGCATCTGAGATGGAATGTCATTTGGAAACGGTTTTCCCGATGGTGGAACTCGTGGCCGTCGAAGCTCTATATGGAAAGTTTCAGAGCCAAATAAAAGGTTCCGTCGATTTGAGTCAGTATAAGAGTCAGAGTAGTGGACGATTTGCCACAAGAGAACTGGTCAAAAAAGTGTCCGATGTAGTTTGGGGTTCTCTGACCAGAAGTTACTATAAGGACAGAGCACACTTACAGACCTTGTATAGTTATTTGACCGGTAAGAACTTCGAAAGGATTTAAATCAATTCACTCTTCCGTTATTTTACAAAGTTATTAACTTCTTTAATCTTTATAAACACGTTTATAATTAAACACAAACTTGCATCGTGACAGTTGAAATGTCAGTTAGGTGCTTTTACGTAATATTTTCAAATCACGAGTCACTCCAGCATTTTAATTAAGTTTCATATATTTTAAGATATATTGAAAATGAAATTCAACTTTCTTTAATAAATTAATTTACAAAAGATACTTAAAAAATTTTTTAAAGCATTACAATAGTTTGAAATAGGTTTTTTGTATTGGTATTTGTATATAACAGATTTCTGACAGTATTAAATAGTACATTAAGGCTAAATTGTTAAATAAAACTATATAAGCTGTTTGTAATTAACAAAATAGAATATAGATTGTAATATTCTATATATGAAAATTTGAATTTTTAATTACTTAAGATTGTTTTTTTAATTGTTGAGGAAATTATATTTGAAGTGTTTTACATTACCTAACATATTGTCAAATTTTGTAGTTTTAGAAAAATGATATTTTTTTCAGTTCAAATAATAATAATATTTGTTAGGTAAGTATTTGGCATTATTAGTTTGTATGATTACATTTCTACAAATTTGAAAATTTACAACAGTAAATAAAAAATCTAGGATTGTTTACATTCACATACAGATTTAAATTAGCATTTTTTTATAAAATAGTTTTGAGATTGGATTTTGACATCTCTAAAATATTTGCATGATTATTTTTTTTTTAATTTGTGTTATGTACTTAAATATAGTAAATGCTAATGAAGAAATATTATTATATGCTTGAAATTGTTAATATAAATTTTGTTCGATGATAATTCTACAAAAATAAACCACTGTTTATTTGAACTTGTTTTTTTTTTTTTGTATTAATATTAATAGTCATATTAAAATTAATACAAGAAAATAAGATTGTATGTGAAGAAATGCTATTCAAATTTAATTAACAAGATCACAATCTAATATAATGTAGCTTTTTCTTTTTAAATTGCATTTTAACTAGCCATGTATAACACTTTTATGAGAGTCTTTGCATCTCTTAATCATTTTATTATGCAATAAATATTTTATCTCAAAATTTTTTTATAAACATTAATGCTTAGTCCTAGACTATATGTTGTTATTTCTAATCTCATTCTAAAAAACTTCATTATTTCATTTAATATATCATGTCACAAATTGTATTCATTTTGTAGCAGTAATTAATGTAATATTTATGTCTGTTTCTCTTAAATGCTTTAATTTTTACTTTAATCACATTTAAGTTTGTTTAATTGTTTTGAATTATTTTCCAGATAGAATACAAATATTTGGTTTTAACTTTTTTGCTTTTTAACTTTTTATTTGCTTTTGATTGTATTTATTAAAAAGTGCAAGTCAGTTATATCTAATTTATATTTCCTTCATTTGCAGTTTTGCATAAATTTTTAATATACTTATATCTTGTAATGGGTGGTTTTTGTACCCTAACTTTATCTATTTGCCTTTATACTTTTTCTTTTTAGTGTATTTTTTTAATATATCATTAAATATGTTTTAATGATTCAATTTTATTTTGCTAATTTATATTTTATTCCAATTTTTAAAATAATTTGTTCTCAAAGAACTATTAGACTAAAATTTTAAACTTCAAGTGAAAAAATAAACACATCAAATAATTTCTACAGATCTACAGTTTTTTTTCAATAAAAAGTAAAAAAAATATTTATATTAATTCAATGAAAATAATTTCAGAGTTCAAAATTTGCAGAGACAAATTTTATAAATGCAACTGTTTAACATCTGTGCTATTGAACAGTTGTATTTATATCAATTTATAACAGTTGTGAGTTTCTCTGCACATTTTGTAATTGCAGAAATAATATCAAGCCAAGAGATTAAAAATGCTGAATAATCATATAACTAATAAAAAAATAGAAAGATAGAAATAATTAAGACATAATTATTTCTATTTTCTGTATTTGGAATTTTCTGTTCTACATATAAACATCTCTACAAAACCCGAAGCATTGCAATAACTCACCAACAACTGCCATAAATCATTGGGCTATAACCCAATGATTTACGGCAGTTGTTGGTGAGTTATTTCTGTTCCACAAGATTATGCCAAATTGTAATGATACATTCTTGCTTTTAAATACTGTCAAATCCAAGAAAATGCAGAGTATGAGAGTTGATTGATGACTCTTACTTATGAATGGCTCCATAAATGTTTCCTTAGTCTTGTATGTTGTTCATTTTAAGAAACCCATTTTTAGTATAGATTAAATGTTTTTTGAGACAGATAACAGCTCATCTTCAGATCAAAATTTTTATTTCTAATTAAATTTGCTCTTTTGAGCGCAGTTTGAACTAAAATAGAATCGATAACTAACTCATTCTATTTTAGTTTGAATTCAAAACTGCTGATTTAATTAAAAATATAAGCTTTGATCTGAAGATGAGATGTTATCTGTCTCAAAAATATGATTCTTAAAGCAAATAACATACAATATTAAAATTGATTGATAAATAAGATCTTTATTTTTATAAAGTAGTTAGTTTTGGTAGTAATGCAGTGACCAGTTCTAAAATGTAAATTATTTACTACATTTTAGAACTAGTCACTGATTTACTAGCTCTCAATATGTAAGAATTTGATACAAGTTGCTTTATTTTATTTCTCTGATTTATCAGACAAAACATTTGAAACAAGTGCTTATCAATACTTATGAGAACAAAATGTGTGCAATGAGAACAAAATTATGAGTGCAACGAGATGAAATTCCTACAATCTCCAATTAAATCATTCATAGATTCTATTCTACTATTTAATATTTGTTACCTCTTAATAAGTAATTGAATAATAAGCAACTAATATTCAGCAGATGAGTATCAATATCTACTCTTTACTATCTAATGGATAGATACCAATAATTGAGTAATTAGCAATGAATACTGAATGCTTGAGTATCAGTTATTGAAAAGTAATGGGTTTGCACATCACTAGTTAACACCTGATTGTTTAGCACTTGTTGGTTTGTTGAAAGTGTAAATCCTCAAAAATACTTGCTTGCAAGATAGTTTTTTCTTTCATAAATTTTATGATTGTAAACAAATATATTTAAAAGATGTAGTAACTTTATTTTGCTTAAAATTCTCATTTGTAATTCTGCTATCAATAAACTGATATTGTTGCTTCTCTGTCTAAACCAGTATACATATGTACTGTACAGAAGACTGCAGCAATATACTTAGAATTTGAACTACTGTACAGTACTTGAGAAAGTTTGGTTTTAATTTATTGCAGTAAAGATATAGTATAGATTCAAAAGAAAGACTTATAGACCCAGAAATTCATAGAATGGGCACTTATGATTTTTATTTGTTATATAAAATATCTCAGATTTATAAAAATTTTGTGCATTTCTTTTAATCTAAATTAAAGTCAGAATTTTTAATTTACATTCTAAATATTATTCATTACTAGATAAACACATAATATATGAAAGCAATTTAGCAAATATATGAAAACAATCTTTCATATGCACGATGATAGGTAACATTAGTTTATAAGACTTCAGTAACACGAATCAAACAAGCTATAGTTTATTGATTTTTGGGTGTTGATTTCAGATATGGTCATTAAAAAGCCCAATAAGTCATGTTTTCATGATATTTTCAATATTTCTAGTAAATATATGTGTTAGTAAGCACTGCTGTTCATTGTTTGTTGGACAGCAGAGCTATAGAAAAGCACCATACAACAAAAATAAAAAAAAGTCAAAAAAGAGAAAGTATTGTTCCAGGAAGAAATAAAGTAAAATATATGCTTTTAGTTGACCCTGTTATTCTCCCATTCCACTTAAAACTAGGACTTGGACTTGTGACAAAGTTTGTTAAGGTTATGGATTAAGTCTGGTGATGGATTTATGTTCTTGAAGAAAAAATTCCTCATTCTGAGGGATAGTAAACATAAAGATGTCTTTCTTGGTTCAGATTAGAAAGTAGTTGAATGGCAATGAATTTGAACAAAAATTTGGTCCAAAAGATCATGCTGCATGGAAAACTTTTACATCTTTTACCATAAGGAGAACAACTACTATCAACTTGTAGAAGAACTCTTAGAATTCCAAAAACTTTGTTGCAGAAGTTTGTTGAAGATGCACTTCCTATGCAATCTGATTTTTTCCTGAGAATCTAGTAGTTACTCATAATCAAGGGAAAAAATTTCATTGCGATCATAAAGATATACCAAAGATTGCATTGACAAGAGATTACAACTGGTTTTTATAGAACAAAGACATTACAACATACGAAAGAAAAAAATGAACTCATAAGATTAAAAAAAGTATTTTTTAAATTTGATATTTTTTAAAATTAATTTCTTTAGAAATGTATTATGAACTCAAAATAGAAATACTTTGAAAATTTTTAGATTTATAATTTTCATTTTGTGTAAATTCTTATAAAATTTATTTGTGCTTTATTAATGTATTCTTATATTTTAAATAATAAAATGTCTAATTAAAAAAACTGTGCACTGAATTTTTTCATGGCCATATTTGGAATCAACATCATAGAAGTAACATAACAGTTTATCTTGTGTTATGAAAAAAATTCAAAATTTGTTTGACTGTGTAATTGATTGTTTTTATATGTTTTAGTAACATAGTTTGAGATGATTTATTTCAATGAACTTCAGAATTATTTATGCTGAATTTTGCAAAATCTTTCCAAAAAGACTGCAATTATCATCCTTTATCCTGGTAGACTCAAATGATACAAAACATGTTTGCTATGAAAACAACAAAAAAAAATTATTTACAAATGAAAAAAGCTCTTTTACAGACAAATTGGCAATGAAACAAACACTGATGCATAGCACAGTGGCATACCAACAGAAGAAGAACTCACAACTTATTGGTCTTCTCTTTGGTCCATTGCTGTTACACACAATGCAGATGCAGGCTGGATAGAG